GAGTCAGGTTTTTTGTTTGGTTTTTTTTTTTGATACAGAGTCTCGCTCTGTTGCCCAGGCTGGAGTGGTGCAGTGATGCGATATTGGCTAACTGCAACCTCCTGCCTCAGCCTCCTGAGTAGCTGGGATTAAGGCACGCGCCACCATGCCCAGCTAGTTTTTTGTATTTTTAGTAGAGATAGCGTTTCACCATGTTGACCAGGATGGTCTCAATCTCTTGACCTCATGATCCACCCGCCTCAGCCTCCCAAAGTGCTGGGATTACAGGCTTGAGCCACCGCGCCCGGCCTTGAGATGAATTCTTAATCTGTTGCCCAGGCTAAAGTGCAGTGGCATGATCTCGGCATACTGCAGCCTCCATCTCCTGGGTTTAAGTGATTCTCCTGCCTCAGCCTCCCATGTAGCTGGGATTACAGGCACCCACCACCACGCCCAGATAATTTTTTTGTATTTTTAGTAGAGACAGGGTTTCACTTTGTTGGCCAGGCTGATCTTGAACTCCTGACCTTGCAATTTGACTGCCTCGACCTCCCAAAGTGCTGGGATTATAGGCGTGAGCCACTGCACCTGGCTGGCAAGTTCTCTTGAAGGTTAGATCCAAGTGGTGCCCTCCTTGGCCAACACAAAGGGCAAGTCAGATTATTCTAGCGCGGTATTCCCCACATGGGTTCCACTGAACACCAGTCTTTTAATATGCTCTGTGAGAAAAGCAAGAGTATCATGTGTTCAAAGTGTTGGGGGCTGTCGCCTGATATTCCCCTGTCTTTGGAATTCAAGTTCCAGAATGGCATTGTCTCTTCATATGTGCAGGGCTAGGCTTGGGTTGGGTTCTTCTGCGTATCATTGCCTGCTTACAGCAACCAGGGAAGAGACTGGGTTGAGTCTCCATTTATAAGTCAAGGGAACTGCGGTTCAGAGGGGGTCATTAAATAGCCAGGATCAACCAGGCATGATGGCTCACAGCTGTAATTTCAGCACTTTGCGAGGCCAAGGCCGGCAGATCGCTGGAGCCTAGGAGTTTGAGACCAGCTTGGACAACATGGTGAAACCCCATCTTGACAAAAAGTATAAAAATTAGCTTGGCATGGTGGTATGCACCTATGGTCCCAGCTACTCCGGAGGCTGAAATGGGAGAATCGGTTGAGCCTGGAAGGCAGTTGTTGCAGTGAATTAAGATTGCACCACTACACTCCAGCCTCAGTGGCAGAGCAAGACCCTTTCTCTAAAAAGAAAAAAAAAATAGCGGGGATGTGGCCAAGCCACATGTCACATTCCTGAGTCCAGTGTTCTTTCTGTGGCACCACTTTCTGTAGGAGGAGGAATACGGGGCTGGGAGCCATGAGAGGATTTGCCCCAGAAGGGCCTGCACGCTAGTTTACAAAGTGGAAATGCATGTTTGTTTCCTTAGGAAGGTCATGGTCAGGTTAACCATCAAGACAGTGATTGTTCCTCTCTTCTGCCTGGGGCCTGTACTTTTCCTGAGCATAAGCTGGGATATTTTCCAACCAAAGAACTCAGAAGTCAGCTTTCCCTGAGGCCTGTGAAGAACAGGAATGGAGAAGCCATGGGCCTGAAGGCCACAGTTGTGCACGTGGGTTCAAGCCCTAACAGCACCACTTTGTTTGCCTTATGTGGCCTTGCCCTGCGTGGAGCTCTGAGGTTGGGCTCTTGCAGTAGAGCCCTTCTTCCTTCCTCAGAGTCTGTAAGGTGGGAGGGGATCACTTGATCCCAGGAGTTTGAGACCTCAGCCTGGACAACATAGGGAGATCCCCAACTCTACAAAAGATACAAAAATTAGCTGGGTGCGGTGGTGCATACCTGTAGTCCGAGCTACTTGGAGGGTTGAGATGGGAGGATGGCTTGAGCCTGGGAAGTTGAGGCTGCAGTGAGCTGTGTTTGCACCGCTATGCTCTGGCTGGGCAACAGAGTGAGACCCTGTCTCAAAATAAAATAAGGAAGGCCCAGGCACAGTGGCTCATGCTCATAATCTCAGCACTTTGGGAGGCCAAGGCAGGTGGATCACCTGAGGTCAAGAGTTTGAGACCAGCCTGGCCAATATAATGAAACCCCGTCTCTACTAAAAAATTACAAAAATTAGCCGGGTGTGGTGGTGGTTGCCTGCAGTCCCAGCTACTCAAGAGACTGAGAGAGGAGAATTTCTTGAACCCAGGAGGTAGAGGTTGCAGGGAGCTAAGATTATGGTCATTGCACTCCTGCCTGGGTGACAAGAATGAAACTCCATCTCAAATAAATAAATAAATAAATAGGGAAGGAAGACAGACTGGGCACAGTGGCTCATGACTGTAATCCCAGCACTTTGGGAGGATAGGGTGGACAGATAACCTGAGGTTGAGAGTTCGAGACAAGCCTGGTCAATATAGTGAAACCTCGTGTCTACTAAAAATAGAAAAAATTAGCCTGGCATAGTGGCGGGCGCCTGTTATCCCAGCTGCTTGGGAGAGCGAGGCAGGAGAATCACTTGAACCCGGGAGGTGGAGGTTGCAGTGAGCTGAGATCGCACCACTGCACTCCAGCCTGGGCGCAACAGAGCGTGACTCCATTTCGAAAATAAATAATTTAAAAAAACAAAATAAGGATAATTGAGGTATCCATTACCTTAAATATTTATCTTTAATATTTATCTTAGGAACATTCCAATTACTCTCTTCCAGCTAGGTTGTAGGGTTTTTTTGTTTGTTTTGTTTTGTTTTTTGAGACAGAGTCTTGCAGTGTCGCCCAGGCTGGGGTGCAGTGGCACAATTTGGGCTCAGCACAACCTCTGCCTCCTGGGTTCCAGTGATTCTCATGCCTCAGCATCTTGAATAGCTGGTACTACTACAGGCGCATTCCACCACGCCCGGCTAATTTTATGCTTTTAGTAGAGACCAGGTTTCGCCATGTTGGCCAGGCTACTTGAACTCCTGACCTTAGGGATCTACCTGTCTCTGCCTCCCAAAGTGTTGGGATTACAGGTATGAGCCACTGTGCCCAGCCTCTTGTAGCTATTTTGAAATGTATAATAGATTAACGTTAAACAATAGTTACCCCATTGATCTATTGAACACTAGGTCTTTTTTTTTTTTTTTTTTGCCCAGGCTGGAGTGCAAAGGCAATCTTGGCTCACTGCAACCTCTGCCTCCTGGGTTCAAGTGATTCTCCTGGCTCAGCCTCCCAAATCACTGGGATTACAGGCACCCATCACCACACCCAGCTAATTTTTGTTACTTTTAATATGGATGGGATTTCACGTTGGCCAGGTTGGTCTCAAACTCTTGACCTCTGGTGATGTACCCGGCTTGGCCTCCCAAAATGCTAGGGTTACGTGTGTGAGCCACTGTGCCTGGCCGAACACCAGGTCTTATTTCTTCTAACTTTATCCTTGTCTCCATTAATTAACCTTTTTTTAGCCTCCCTTCCCTCTGACCTTCCAGGCCTCTGGTAACTACAAATCTACTATCTTCATGAATTGCTTAATTCTTTCTTTTTTTTTTTTTTTTTTTGAGATGGAGTTTTTTTGTTGTTGTTGCCCAGGCTGGAGTGCAATGGTGTGATCACTGCAACCTCCACCTCCCAAGTTCAAGCGATTCTCCTGTCTCAGCCTCCTGAGTAGCTGGGATTACTGGCATGTGCCATCACACCTGGCCAATTTTTTATATTTTTAGTAGAGACGGGGTTTCTCCATGTTGGTCAGGCTGGTCTTGAACTCCCGACCTCAGGTGATCTGCCTGCCTTGGCCTCCCAGAGTGCTGGAATTACAGGTATGAGCTACTGCCCCTGGCCTAATTGCCTAATACTTTCTTTAAATCATACTGGGAGTGGTGTCACATGCCTGTAATTGCAGGTACTCTGGAGGCTAAGGTGGGTGGATCGGTTGAGGCCAGGAGTTCAAGGTTACAGTGAGCTATGATTGTGCCACTGGAGTCCAGCCTAGGCGACAGAGTGAGAAAACATCTCTTAAAAAAAAAAACAAACAAACAGAAAACACAGCTAACTTTCATGTACTTTCAAAGTACTTCTATGAATGGAAAGCTGGCATTCCTTAAAATAAAAGAAAGAAGATAGTGTTACTGAATTATTATTTGACGCTGTTGGCTGTTTAACATCTCTGAGCCTGAGGCCTGCTCTCCCTTTGTTAAAAAGTAAAGGAGTAGAGAGGTGGGCAAGACCCAGCAGCCTCATGCCAAGGCCAACTTCAGAGATGTCTGAAGGGTTGAAAAGACACTTGAAAAAAAGTTACTTCCTCAACACTGAATTCTATTTGTTTTTTTTTTTTTTTTTTTTGAGACAGAGTCTTACTCTCACCCAGGCTGGAGTGTAGTGGTACAACCTTGGCTCATTGCAACCTCTGCCTCCCCAGGTTCAAGCGCTTCTCCTGCCTCAGCCTCCCCAGTAACTGGAATTACAGATGTATGCCACCACATTTGGCCAATTTTTGTATTTTTAGTAGAGCTGGGGTTTTGCCATGTTGGCCAGGCTGATCTGGAACTCCTGACCTCAAGTGATCTGCCCGCCTCGGCCTCCCAAAGTGCTGGGATTACAGGCGTGAGCCACCAGCCCTCAACATTGAATTCTGTGTTGTTTACGTTCATGTTTCTCTGTCATCCATAACCATGTCACACATCCACCTACAGGGCTGTACAAGTCAGGGATTTTCCTGACACTTCTGTTTTTGTTTTTCCTTTTTTATTTTTACTCAGAAAATGGTTCGGTTCCAGTGCAATTTCTGACACTTCTGAGCCTCATATAAACCTTGGAGGCCTCTTGGCTTGAAGACAGGTACCACCAGCTTCAGCCAGAATAGGTCCCACTTTTCACAAATGAAGCTCAAATTAAGTCTTGTGATGCTCGGGTGGTTCAGATCCATCAGGATGAGGCTTCACTGTAGGCCTCCAGGGGTCTCTCTCCCGCTAACTCTTCTCTTCTTTCTGCCACAGCGCTGCCACTGGAGTGACATGTTCACAGGGAGGCTTCGGTCTGAGATCCCGCCAGCCCTGGTAAGCGAACAGGCTGTGCTTCCCTTCCAGGCACAGGGCCCTCTTTGGCAATTCCCAGGGCTTTTCTCACACCTTATTCTTTCTGGAATCTAAGATAGGAGCCTTTGGGTGATTGGGTGATTGAGCTGCTGAAATGGAAGCCCAGCCAGCCCAGCATGCAGCCTGTATCCTGACAGGAGGGGCAGGTGGGAACACAGGAGCTGGCAGGGGAGGAAGCCCAAGGGCGGGGACTCCAGGGAGGCAGGAGAGCTGAGACCACACACTCCTGGGTCCTCCTGAGCTGTGAGGTTTGGCTCACTGTGGATTTCACCCCAACACGGTTGCCTCAGCTTTCCTGGTACCTCTCCCTGCACCTCACAGTCCTGCTCCTTCATGACTTCTCTGCACATAGCCCACAAGCCTGTCCCAGTCTTTCTCTGGCTTCTCCCTTTCTCCATGCCACTCTCAGCTTTGGTTTGCGCCCATCATGGCTGGCTTCCCATTTCTTCACTCCCGGGCTCAGACCGGCTTGCATCAAGTTCCCAGTCTTCCCGGAGCTGTGTGTGTGTGTGTGTGTGTGTGTGTGTGTGTGTGTGTGTAAGGAAATAGAAAGGGGCCTCACAGAACACAGGAAGGCTTCCCTGGCCAAGGGAAGAAGGCAGGTCTGGCTGTCAGCAGCCTCTCAGTGTGTCCTCCTAGCAGGAGGCTGCACATGGCAGGCCATGGGGGTGCAGGTTTCTGGTCAGTGATGAGTATGCACGCTGATGTTACTAAGCCCCTCAGCCTGGTCGCTCCTGGCCTCCTTTTATTTTATTTATTTATTTTTGAGGCAGAGTCTCACTCTGTGGCCGAGGCTGGAGTGCAGTCTCAGCTCACTACAACCTCAACCTTCCAGGTTCAAGTGATTCTCCTGCCTCAGCCTCCTGAGTAGTTGGGATTATAGGCATTCACTACCACACCTGGCTAATTTTGTATTTTTAGTAGAGATGGGGTTTTGCCAATGTTGGCTAGGCTGGTCTCGAACTCCTGACTTCAAGTGATCCACCTGACTCAGCCTCCCAAAGTGCTGGGATTACAGGCGTGAGCCACTGCACCTGGCCCTTTTGTTTTATTTTTAAAGACAGGGTCTCACTATGCTGGCCAGGATGGTCTTGAGCTCCTGGGCTCAAATGGTCCTCCCAAGCAGCTGGGATTATAGGTGTGCCACTGCGCCTGGTTTGTGAGGCCAGGATTTGGAATGTAGGTTAAGAAAATTCATTTCTGGGTGGGCGAGGTGGCTCACACCTTTAATCCCAGAACTTTAGGAGGCTGAGGCAGGTGGATCACCCGAGGTCAGGAGTTTGCGACCAGCCTGGCCAACATGGTAAAATCCCATCTCTACTAAAAATACAAAAATTAGCTGGGCATGGTGGTGGGCACCTATAGTCCCAGCTACTTGGGAGGCTGAGGCAGGAGAATTGCTTAAACACAGGAGGTGGAGGTTGCAGTGAGCCAGGACCATCCACTGCACTCCAACCTGGGTGCCAGAGTGAGACTCTGTCTCAAGGAAAAAGCAAATTCATTTTAGTGATTGTATGTTAAAGAATTTTAAGTCAGGCCAGGCATGTTGGCCATGCACGCCTGTAATCCTAGCACTTTGGGAGGCCGAGGCAGGCAGATCACCTGAGGTCAGGACTCCAAGACCAGCCTGGCCAACATGGTGAAACTCGGTCTCTACAAAAGTACAAAAATTAGCCGGACATGATGGTGGATGCCTGTAATCCCATCTACTCGGGAGGCTGAGGCAGAAGAATCACTCGAACCTGAGAGGCAGAGGTTGCAGTCAGCTGAGATCATGCCACTGCACTCCAGCCTAGGTGAGAGAAAGACTCTGTCTCAAAAAAAAAAAGGAATTTCAAGTCAGAAAAGATGGTGAAGAAACTATTTTGCATACTCACTGTGGAATTCTCGTTGTGCAGGTTTTGCCTAAATTTTAGCATTTAATTTTCCTGAGCTTTCAGAAGGTGTCTGTTTGGTTTTTGTTTTCTTTTACTTGACCCTACAGGAATGAGGAAGGAAAGTATTCTTACCTCTATGTTCCCAGTGATAAAAACAAATCTTAAGAGGGGGATAAAAGAATTTGGGGTCCGAAGATGGCATGAAGTGGAGTAGGCACAGGGTATTTGAGCAGCTTGCCTCTTCAGGGCTGGAGGTCAGTTGGGGCCAGATGGCCAGGGGCTAGGCCTTCTGTGGGCCAGGCAACCAGCGGACACGCTGCCTTTTGCTTGCTGAGTGGTGGGAGGACAGTAGAAACTGCCTCAGCTGCCATGCCTGTGGCCAGGGCAAGGGCAGAGAGCCTCCTTTCCTCATTCCTGCCTCCATGGACCACCTGCCCAGCCCCCTTTCTGCCCCAAGTCTCTGGCAGGGCCTCCTCTCCTCTGACCATTTCTCCTGGGGGGTGAGGGAGTGTAGCTCTCCCCAGCCCACGAGGTTTCCAGGAGAGCTCCGAATCCGCCTGCCAAAGCTGGTCCCTGGCCATGGCTTGGAGATGGCCACCTCCATCTGCCAGTCACCATCAGAAACCCTGGAGGCTCTTTCCTTGCCTAACGCAGCCATGGCTCATGGTCCCAAGAAGCATCTGAAGCGGGTGGCAGCTCCAAAGCACTGGATGCTGGATAAATTGACCGGTGTGTTTGCTCCTCGTCCATCCACCAGTCCTCACAAGTTGTGAGAGTGTCTCCCCCTCATCATTTTCCTAAGGAACAGACTTAAGTATGCCCTGACAGGAGATGAAGTAAAGAAGATTTGCATGCAGCAGTTCATTAAAATTGATGGCAAAGTCCGAACTGATATAACCTACCCTGCTGATTTCATGGATGTCATCAGCATTGACAAGACAGGAGAGAATTTCCATCTGATCTATGACACCAAGGGTCGCTTTGCTGTACATCGTATTACACCTGAGGAGGCCAAGTACAAATTGTGCTAAGTACGAAAAATCTTTGTGGGCACAAAAGGAATCCCTCATCTGGTGACTCATGATGTTCGCACCATCCGCTATCCTGATCCCCGCATCAAGGTGAATGATACCATTCAGATTGATTTGGAGACTAGCAAGATTACTGATTTCATCGAGTTTGACACTGGTAACCTGTGTATGGTGACTGGGGGTGCTAACCTGGGAAGAATTGGTGTGATTACGAACAGAGAGAGGCACTCTGGATCTTTCGATGTGGTTCATGTGAAAGATGCCAATGGCAACAGCTTTGCCACTGGACTTTCCAATATTTTTGTTATTGGCAAGGGCAACAAACCATGGATTTCTCTTCCCCGAGGAAAGGGTATCCGCCTCACCATTGCTGAAGAGAGAGACAAAAGACTGGCAGCCAAACAGAGCAGTGGGTGTAATGGTCCCTGGGTGATATGTTAGATGTTTATGCATAATTAAAAATCATATGGCATGATTAATAGCAAAAGAAAAAAAAAAGAAATCCTGGAGGCATTTGTGGTTCCTCCCTCCCTCTTCCTGCAATCTAGAGAACCACCAGCTTCTGCATGTCCCCTGCTCCATGAACAGGCAGCTCCTCTCCTCTCCTGCACTTGTCACACTGGCCAGCAGGTCCCCTCTCTGTTGCCAGTGTCACTGCCTCACACTCCTGGGTGGGCACTCCAGCCCCCCACCTGTCCATGTGCTCTCCTCAGGTCCGGGGATGTTTCTTCCACATCCCTCAGCCACTTCAAAACCTAGTGCTCTCAGGCTGAGGTTCATAGTCCTTGGCCTGGCATTCAAGACTATTGCCTGATCTGACCCTTCACTTCCCTTCCATCCAAAGCCCACGCCATGGCCTCTTCTAGAGCCCTTCCACAGCTGCCCCCAGGTTCACAGCCTGCTGCTTCATTCTTATGTCTCTGCTCCTGTTATTTCAGCTGCCTGGAATCTTTTCATGTTTACTAGCTGATTCTCTCCAGACTAAGCTCAAATGCCGCTTCTTAGAAGTTTTCCCAGGCCACCCCATGCATACACACGCCCCACTCTCCATCTGTTAGGAGGCCTTTGCAGGGTTTCTAGTCTTGAGAATACCGAAATGATTCGTGTCTATGCCAGTTCTCTATTAGCCGGGGTGTCCTCGGAAGGCAGAGCTGGGCCTGGCATGGAAGCAGCACATGCTGGGTATCTATGAAACTGACACGTGGCCGGGCACGGTGGCTCAAGCCTGTAATCCCAGCACTTTGGGAGGCCGAGGCGGGTGGATCACAAGGTCAAGAGATTGAGACCATCCTGGTCAACAAGGTGAAACCCCGTCTCTACTAAAAATACAAAAATTAGCTGGGCATGGTGGTGCGTGCCTGTAGTCCCAGCTACTCAGGAGGCTGAGGCAGGAGAATTGCTTGAACCCAAAAGGCGGAGGTTGTGGTGAGCCAAGATCGTGCCATTGTACTCCAGTCTGGGTAACAACAGCGAAACTCTGTCTTAAAAAAAAAAAGAGAAACTGACACGAGCTTCCTCTGTGCCCAGATCTCACTAGGGGAAGGACTCATCACAGCTGGGGCCCAGCTGGTGGAACTGGACTTAAGTGACAACGCATTCGGGCCCGACGGTGTGCAAGGCTTCGAAGCCCTGCTCAAGAGCTCAGCCTGTTTCACCCTGCGTGAACTCAAGCTCAACAACTGTGGCATGGGCATTGGTGGCGGCAAGGTGGGTATGGCGGCCCCCTCCCAGTAGAGTCCCCTGCTCCATCCACATCCATCTGACCTATGTGCCCTGGCCCTTGGCCACCACCATCTGGGATGGTCAGCTGTTGTTTTCAAAAGAGAAAGGCCTCAAGCCGCAGCCTACAGCCAGAGGGTAGAGGCCTCCGTGAGAGTGGGTTGCCAAGCAACCATCCCAACTTCTTGGGTTGGCTTGGCAATGCAGAGGGAGTGCTGCCGTATACCTGCTGGCTCTGCAAAACTCATGTCTTGGAGCATCCCTACACTCACTGTACCCTCAGAGCAGCTGGCAGAGCCTGGCACACAGGTTGAGGAAGAAGCCTGAAAAGAGTGTCCGCTCATGAAGGAACAGTCACAGCTCACCTTTATTCTTGGACAGGGCCTTGCCTGGGGACTGTCCCTAGGCAAGGTCAGTGTAGAGCTTCAAGTTGGGCTGGTCAGTGTAGGGTGGAGCTTCTTTCTTCCCAGAACCTGCATAGAGAGTGGTCTGCCCTGTTCTCTTCAGCTGCATCCTGGTGTCTTTAGACCCAGGGTTGGAGAACACTGAGTGCCAGGCTGCAACCCCTACACACACTTTCTGACCAAAGGGAGGATAGGGCTGGGGACACGGAACTAACAGCAGTTGGGGACATCTTATTTGAATATGAAGTACCTTAACTTTCCCATCCCCACTGAAAGTGGGGTGGTGCCATCCCCATTTTTCCACATGACTCAGCATAGGCTTAGAGAGGTGGGGTGGGGTGGATCACATAGCTGGTGCTGTGAGGCGCATGGAGCCCCAGGCTGGGGAGCTGGAGTGGCCTACCCTGCAGAGGGTGCCTGTGGCCCTCTTCCTGATGTGTAGGTAAGTAGGGGCAGGCTCTGTGCCTGCCTTAGCCAGCCCTCCCCAAAGTCCACTTGGGCAATAAGCTGTCCCTGTGTTAAGATATAAAAATGGGCCAAGGCAGTGGCTCACGCCTGTAATCCCAGCACTTTGGGAGGCCAAGGCAGGTGGATCACCTGAGGTCAGGAGTTTAAGACCAGCCTGGCCAACATGGTAAAATCCCATCTCTACTAAAAATAAAAAATTAGCTGGGCATGGTGGTGGGCACCTATAGTCCCAGTTACTCAGGAGGCTTAGGCAGGAGAATTGCTTGAACCTGCAAGGCAGAGGTTGTGGTGAGCCAAGATGGCACCACTGCACTCCAGCCTGGGCAACAAGAGCTAAACTCCGTCTCAAAAAGAAAAAAAAAATCTAAAAATGTTTGCATCAGCACAGAAAGCAGGTGCAGCCCAACCTGGAATGAGTAGGATATGCTGGGAGAGCTGGAGACTCCAGCCAAGTGCTTTGGTTTTCCTTCCATTACTTCCCCTCTCCCACCCAGCAGTGCCTGGAAACTGAGGCTCAGGGGACTTTCCTACTGGCCAGGGCTTGTCTAGCCTGTCCTATACTTGCAGTGGGATGAGTTGGGGAATGAGTTTTGAACCCCAGGGCCAGAGGGCCTCACAGTCAGGCAGACTCTAACCCTAGAGTTTGACAGATGGTTTTCTGAGCCTCCCTGACCACTGATTTGATTAGGTTCTGTGTCCTGGCCTTGCTGATCTGCGCCTCTTGGGAGCTCAGACACGATGCTCTGAGTGTCTAACCAAGGCCTGTAGGTCCTTTGGTCCTTTGGAATCTTTTTCTCTTGGGTAGTATATGTTTAGTGCGGTCTCTGCACCATGCACCATGAGAATAGGAGGGCCCAGAGGAGTTGACAGGGCAAGAGGTGTGGCCCTGTGCTTGGGAACTATCCAGACCCAAGTTGGACTCCTGCAGGAGCTAAGGCCCTCCCCATGTGGCCTCCAAGGAATCGGGGAGAATGGGGGTGACCTAGCAGTCAGCTGCTGCCGCCGAGTAGCTTCCTGAGAGGCTGGTCTATGGCAGAAGTTTGATATCTCTACCTTGAGTGTGTGCATGATCCAGCATAGCCACCGTGAAGTCAGGCAGATGCTGGCCCTTCTGTTTCTCAGGGACAGCTGTGTGCAGTCTCATGCCAGGAGTTAGGCCAACATACCCACCATGTGCAGCTTTGCTGAGTATTTGCCAGGTGACTGGCCGATTCACTCACCTCTCAGAGCCTCAGCTTCCTCATCTGTAAAGTATGACCAGTCCCACCTGTCTCCCAGGCTGGTGTTGAGGTTGAAGTGAGAAAGTATGCAAATACCTTACTGAGGGTGCCCAGGCCCTAGCAGGTGCTCTGCAAACATCAGGTGTTCTGCAAACATCACTTCTCTCCTGGTACACTCGCTCGTGATTCTTTTATGTCTCATTGACCATGGGCTCTGATTCCCATTAGTCAGTCTCTGTTTTTCAGTGCTTTGCCTGAATGTGTGGGATGTGGAAGAGCAGTTCAGCAGCAGTGGCTGCCCTGCTAGGGCTCCTGCCCATGGCCTGGGCCCCTTGCCTTTTCCCACAGATCCTGGCTGCAGCTCTGACCGAGTGTCACCAGAAATCCAGTGCCCAAGGCAAGCCTCTGGCCCTGAAGGTTTTTGTAGCTGGCAGAAACCGTCTGGAGAACGATGGCGCCACTGCTTTGGCAGAAGCTTTTAGGGTGAGTGGTTTCTGTCCATCCTGCCCCCGCAGCCCTGAGGTGCACTCGGCACAGTAAGCTGTTAGTCCTGGATGTGGATCCCATGGCAGGCACTCAGCCGAGAGACCTGAGGCGTCATATGCCCTCTTCAAGCCTGTTAGCCCATTCGAAAATGGGCCAGGATTCCTGTCATGCATTTCTGGAAAGATGTGTGGTTGCTCCCAAAGGTGAGCCAGCAGCAGCCCCTTGTGAGGCTTCAGGCCACTCTGACCAGGGAGTGTCATCTGCCAGGCCCAGAATTGGTGGAGCAAGATGCCAGGCGCGGTGGCTGACGCCTGCAATCCCAATACCTCAGGAGGCCAAGGCGGGTGGATCACAAGGTCAAGAGATCAAGACCATCCTGGCCAACATGGTGAAACCCCTACTAAAAATACAAAAATTAGCCAGGCATGATGGTGGGCGCCTGTAGTCCTAGCTACTCGGAAGGCAGAGGCAGGAAAATTGCTTGAACCCAGGAGGTGGAGGTTGCAGTGAGCCAAGATTGCGCCACTGCATTCCAGCCTGGGTGACAGAGCAAGACTCTGTCTCAAAACAAAAATACAAAAATTAGCTGGGCATGGTGGCACGTAATCTCTGCTACTCAGGTGGCTGAGGCAGGAGAATGGCTCGAATCGGAGTCAGAGGTTGTGGTGAGCCGAGATCTCGCCACTGCATTCCAGCCTGGCGACAGAGTAAAACTGTCTCGGGGAAAAAAAAAAAGTGGTGGAGCAAGGTGACATGAGTGATGAGTGCTCCCAGCCCCTGGTGTGGGGCACAGAGAAAGAACTTACTAGACTTCCTAAGACAGGGAGACAGGCAGGGGCAGCCACAGGGCTTAGGTGCCAGATGAAGTGCTCTTGGGTTACCTTGTCCCTGCTCCTCTTCCATTCTCCTCGTCTCCCCCCTCCTCCTCTCCCCAGCTCCCTAGGACATTGTTGAGTCTCCAACCATGAGTGCCAGAAGAAGGTCACACTTGCCCATGACAGAACTGAAAACTTTGGGGTCTGTCTCCCTCTTCTCTTTTTTGTTTTTCTGGGACAGAGTCTCACTGTGTCACCCCTGCTGGAGTGTAGTGGCACAATCTTGGCTCACTGCAACATCTGCCTCCCAGGTTCAAGCAATTCTCCTGCTTCAGCCTCCCAAGTAGCTGTAATTATAGAATTACAGGCGCCCAT